GTGGGGCTCGATCCCAGGACCCTGGGACCATGACCTGAGCCGAAGGCAGAGGCTTAACCCACTGAGCCACCCAGGCGCCCCATGTTTTGACTGTTTATTCTCAGCCTTGGCCCTGACAGTCGCATGGGGCTGCCTTCCCCTCTCAGGGGGCCGTCCTGGGCGTTGCAGGACACGGGGCAGCACACTTGGCCTCCCCCTAGTAGACACAGCAGCATGCCCCCCAAGTGGTGACAGCCACAAATGTCCCCAGACGTTTGGGGCACAGCTGCCCACCGCTAGGAAGCACTGACACATGGGCTCATTGCTAGGTGTGAGAAGCTGGATACAAGTGCACCCCGGGAGCACGCGGGGCTGGGGTGATGGGGAGGGCTTTTCATCTGCGTCGCTGCTCCCCTCCTTCCTCCCTCCGTCCCCCCACACCCTGGCGCCGACTGAGCCCCTGCCATGTCCGCTGGTGTGGGGGGGCGTGCAGGGCACAGACCCCTCTGAGTGTGAAGGCCCATCCCGGGAGGCGCGTCGCCTGGAGCTGGCGGGGCCCGTGGGGGTGAGCGCGTTCAGCTTGGGGCTCCCTCACCTCACCTCACAGAGTGTGATGTCCCCGTCCACTGTCCCCTTCAGAGTACTTGAGCCAGGAGGAATACGATGCCTCCAGCCAGAGAGGGGACATCATCCAGGAGAGGGAGGCATCCGGGGGCCACTACTGCGTTACCCGCCGGGCTGTCGAGTCCCTCATGGAAAAGGTAAGGGGCGGGCGGGGGGTGCTGCTCTGGGGGCGAGGGGCCTCCATCCCCAGAGGACCGTGCTGGGATAGGGCAGGAAGGATTGGTCTTGAGATCTGGGGGATGCTGGTCACCAACCTGCTGGCCAGGGACACCCGGTGCTGGTGCTCAGCTTGTCTCTGGCTCGGTGTTCAGAGGGAGGGGTGCAGAAAGGTCCAGCCCTGACCCTGTCCTCTCAGATCCGGGGGACTTGGGGCCAGCCTCTTAATGTCCCCAGGCCTGGTTCCTCGATACAGGAAATGCCGAATAGTATTTGTCAGGTAACGAGTAAGATGAGGGAACAGTCTGTGATTTGAGGCCCACATGAACATGAAAAAGAGCTCACCGTGAACCGTGAAGCTTTCTGGGACCTAAGAGGGCCAGGCGCAGCTGGGCGCCAGAGGCAGATGCCCCCTTCCCAACCATTACCCCGGCAGAGGCTGACGGAGCCTTCTGACCCTGCGGGCTCCGGCCCCTCAGTCTCCCTCCACCCCAGCGGCTCACAGATGACAAACCAAAGGGACAGACTCTGGGTAGAGCAAGCGCCCTTGGACACCACAGAGCATCCCTGGGTTCTCTCCCCACCGCCCCTCTTGGGTGTGGGTTCCCTTCGCAGCTGCCGAGGCCAAGGACCTTGGCCCATCTCCCCACTGTCCCCCCTCAGAACACCCATGCCCTCTTGGACGTCCGGCTAGACAGCATCTGTGCCCTGCACAGGATCGAGATCTTCCCCATCATCATCCACATCCCCATCAACGAGAGAGCAGCAAAGAAACTCAAGTAGGTGTGGCCCTGGGGGCTGGCCTGGGGTCTGCTCCTGACGCCACGCGGGGGTGGGGGGCTCCAGGAACTCCTGGAAGCATGACAGGGTGGTCCCCCACATCTTCTGGGACAAAGGACCTGCTGCTCTCCCCTCCGGGGACAGCCTGGGGGACGGTGAGGCGAGACCTGGAACCTGCCTTGACTCAGGGCACGTGTCCAGTGGGCTACACGCAGCTGACAGCCCAGCCTCGTGAGGCGAGGACGGGGCTGGAAACCAGTACTCAGTTTACGACGTCCTGTCACCCCCTTACGATTTGTCAGCTGAGCATGTAAACTAGACCCTGCCCCCCATCACTGCACGTCACCTGGGGCCCGACTCACGTCTTCTCTGTGGGGCACTCGGCCCCCAGGAGGGGGGGATCCGCACGCCGGTCCCCTGGAATTCCGAGCTGGGTCCACTCCGGGCAGCCAGTGCGTGGCTCTCCCTGAGCGTGTCCCGTGTCCGGCCTGTGCAGGAAGGCCCTGCAGCGGCTCGGCACGTCGGAGGAGCAGCTCCTGGAGGCGGGCAGGCAGGAGGAGGCCGCGCTGGACAGAGCGCCCTGTCTGTACGGCAGCCTGGCCCCCGACGGCTGGAGTGACCTGGAGACGCTGCTCGGCTGCGTCCGCTTCGCCATCGGGGACGAGCAGAAGGTTGTGTGGACGGAGCAGAACCCCCGCTGACGGCACCAGAGCCCTTCCAGGGGCCGCGGGGACCTCTGAGTCCCTGCGATTTGAGCTCAGCCTCGTAGACACAGCCTTGGGCGTGCTCGCCTGAGCCCAGCTCTCTGGGCATCTGGTCCCCTCTCTCGCTGGGGCCCAACCTTGAACCCCATTCTGTGCAGGTCACAGACAGGCATTCGCACTGTCTGCCCACTTTTTTGCCAAGCTGTCTCCTCCTCCAAGGCTCAGTCGCCGTGTCCGAACCAGAGGCCCCGAGAACACGTCTCCTGTAGACGTTTCCAGAAAACCACCTGTCTGACCCCGATCTCCCCTTTTGCATTTCAGGGTGCCGAAGGGCTCGTTCCCGAGCCCCTGAGGCAGGAGGCTGGTAGCCCTGGTGCCCCCGAAGTCACTGGCACCCCCGCCCAGAGCGGAGGTACAGACTCCTGGTGAGGTAATCTCACTGCCTCAGTGGCCAGAGATCTGCTTCAGGGGCTCGAGTTTGGAGAGTCGTGTGTACCAACTGGGAGATACGGTTTCCCAGTCATGGAAACAGTGTTTTCAGTGGGTTTCTGCCTGGTGGCCACCAGACCCGGTGCGCCCGTGGGGGCGTCCTGGAGAAGCCACCCACAGACACCCTCGCACACGGGCCGGGCTGCCCCGAGCCCCACATCTGCCCCCCCTCTACCGGGCAGTAAAGAGCCTTTACTCCACCTCCAGAGCTCAGGAGACACGTGGACATGGCTGGGCCAAGCACTCCTGGGCCACCCGCCCCCTGGCCTTGCCCCCCACTGTAGCAGACTGACCGCCATTTCGGCAGCGGCGCCCCGAACCCGAGTGCCCCAGAAGCTGCTCTGGGATTGAGGCAGGCGTGACCATAAATAAGCCAGAAAACGACCTTGTGCATGTTTTACTAAAATACAAAGCTTTACAGCACTGGGCACTGTGGCTCTCCGTCCATGCCCCCAGGGTGGACTTGTGGGGGAGGGGAGGGCAGAAGCCCACCCACTCAAGGGAAAAAGACCCCGAGCTCTAGGCTCTCCAGGGCGAGCTTCTGCGTCCAGGGACAGCAGGGGAACGCCGGGCAGGGCTGGAGCATCTATGAGCAACATCCGTGCCACAGCCCCATGTCCAACCGGACAGAGCCGGCCCGAGCCAGAGGACAGGCTCTTCAGCCTCGGACATCCAAAAAGAAGGACGAGCTTGGCTTACAGACCACGGACTGAAACCGGGTGTGCAGGGAGCCCACCAGGAATCCGTGGCCTCGTGGAAACCCAGCCAAGGTCAGGAACTTGACCGAGGGGCAAAGCAAAACAAGCCCCAGGCTTGGTCACAGGTTTTTTTCAAAACCAGAGATTGATAAAAGGCAGATACTGTGTCCCTACACGGAGTGTAGTCTGAACCCTCCTGCCACCCACGCGATACCCGGATGCCCCATCTCCTCTCAGACGAAGGATACAGGAACATGTGGGGGCCCCAAGGAGGGAAGAGGACCTCAAGCCCCAGGTCCCAACCCGATCACGACCATCCTTACATGTCACAGACTGGGGGCCCCGCCCTGTTCCTAGATCCCCTGAATTCCCGTGCTGAGACACAAGGAAAGCAGTGTTCCCTGTCACGGGGGGACGAAGGGCCAGGGCACACACTCTCTCCCCTCCAGGCAGCAGCCGAATGACACCAGCGTCCGGGAGAGCCCTCCTCCCATGGGGCACGTGGGGACCCGGTCTGGGACAGCCACCCAGGTGCCCCCAAGGATGCTCACAGCTCGTTGTGGAGGGGACGGCACCGGGGGGAGAGCCTCTCCTCCAGAACCCCGTCAGGTGCGCACACCCAGGGGTCCTGGGTCTCCCACTGCCACTTGGCCAGCTGGGTCCGCAGCAGTTCAAGGACCTGCGCACAGCGGGGGTCGGCAGCCAGGTTCCGGGTCTCGCGGGGGTCCTGGCTCCTGTCATACAACTCCCAGCGCTCCCGGTAGTAGTAATGGTGGAGATCCTTATACCAGCCCGTGGGGCGGCCGGCCACAGTGCGATTCAGGAGGTCCTGAAAGGTGGGCGACACGTAGAAGTCCTGGTCGATGGGAAAGGGCATCTTGAAGTTGAGGTTGTGCACGAGGAGGAAGGTCCGGTGGTGCACGGAGCGCATGGGGTAGGCCATGGTGACCTCGTGGTGGCTCTGGCTGCCGAAGACAGTGTTCCAGAGCGGCTCTGCGTCCAGCGCCGGCAGGAGGGACCGGCCAGTGAGCCGCACAGGCTTTGATCCAAAGATGGCATAGCTCGGGTAAGGGATGGAGAACCAGTCCAAGACGGTGGGCGTGAGATCTGGAGAGAAGGTTGTGTCTCAGCATGGTGGCCCTCCAGCCCCCAAGCTGCTCTGACTCCCAAGCCATTCTGTAATGCTGGTGGGCCGCCTCGCACACGGGATCACCAACAGGGAGGAGCTGCACTAGGTCCCACACCTGGCACGGTCATCTTGGCCCTCTAGGACACAGTGCCTTTAACAAGAGGCCACCACTTGGTGATATTTAGGATCGTACCAGAATCCTCCGGATCAGTAAGGAAGCCCCCACGGAGGGGGGCTCATGGATTCCTGCCCTGTGCTGTGGCCACAGTGCTCCCTGACTTGTGCTTTGGAGACAAAGGGAGATGTGGGCCCTGTTGCCCTGACCCCCCTGCAGCATCAGTATCACCCGGGGAACTTGTCAGAAATGTGAATTCTCAGGCCCTACCCCAGATCCACAGTGTCAGACACTCTGGGGGCGGGACCTGCCGTGCGGGGGTTAACAAGCTCTGCGTGCCAGAGTGACAGTGTGACGCTCACCTGTGGGCCAGTGGCAGGAGCAACAGCCTCAAAGACCGAGACCCAAGCTAGAATCCTAGCTCGGTGCTCACAAGCTGTGTGATGGTGGGCAACTGCCCTGCCCTCTCTGATCCTCCAGACTGCATCTGTAGAATGGGGTGGCCGTCCCTTCCTTGCCCAGGTGGTGTGGGAACCACGTAAGGCAGCGGTGTGAGCACTGTCCGGACTTGGTGGTACCCCTGAATTTTCACCTCCCCCTCCCCTGCCCCTGTGTGAGCTGCAGAGCCGTACCTAAGAGGCTCACGTAAGCCTCGCTGACCTGGCCCCAGCGTTTCGTGTGCTCTGGGGATGACACCAGCAAGGGTTCAGCTGTGCCCGGCCAGTACAGGTTGGTCCTGCCGCTGGGGAAGGGGATCCCGTTGTCGGACGTGAAGATCACTAGGGTGTCATTCAGGACACCTGCTGTGCGCAGCTCCTGGAGCACGAGTCCAACCCCTGGGAGTGCAGAGGGGACAGCAGAGCTCAGCCACAGCCGGGCATGCGGGGACGGGCATGTGTGTGCACTCACACATTTCCTCCTCCAGCTGCTGGAACCTGCACCCTTGCCGTCCCACCCAGCACCGTGTCCTGCAGCAGGCCAGGGACGCCAGCTGTTCCATGGCACGTCCATGCCACCCTGTGCAGCCACTACCAGCCGGACGCTGGCTTTGTTTTGTTTTCTGGAATTTCATGCCTGTCCTATGGGGATAACCAGGGCAGTACTGGTGGTGGCTGGAAGACAGGACTCCTATGCCTGCCCCCTCTCTAATCACCATCCACTCATGGCACCAACAGGGATGCTATAAAGGTTCCAACCTCTTGTGGGGGCTGAATGGTGGTCCCCGCAAAGATAAACCCTCAGGAACCTGTGAACATGACCCCGTTTGAAGAAGGGGTCTTTGCAGATGCTGTCACCAAGGATCTCAAGGAGATCGTCTCGATGTGGCCAGGAGGGCCCTAGATCCCATGACAAGTGTCCTTATGGAAGAAGCACTGAGATCGGGGCACCTGGGTGGCTCAGTGAGTTAAAGCCTCTGCCTTGGGCTCAGGTCATGGGCTAAGGGTCCTGGGATCAAGCCCCGCATCGGGCTCTCTGCTCAGCAGGGAGCCTGCTTCCTCTTCTCTGCCTGCCTCTGCCTACTTGTGACCTCTCTCTCTGTCAAATAAATAAATAAAATCTTAGGAAAAAAAAAAAAGCAGCAGCACTGAGAAATGCGCGAGAGGCTGTGTGAAGACAGGGGCAGAGATGGGAGGGGTGCAGCGAGGAGCCAAGGAACGCCTGGTGCCAACCAACGCTGGAAAGAGGAAGGACTGTCCTGTCCCCTAGGGCCTGCGGGGGGACACGGTCCTGTTGACACTGTGACTTCAGAGCTCTGGTCTGGGACGGGGGCCCACACTGCAGCATACCCCACTGCCCGGGCTCCTTGAACCCACCTTGGTCCATGCGGCCAATGGTGGTGTACTGAGCGGCCAGGTCAGTTCGAGCTGCGGGAGTGTCCGGGACAAAGTAAGGCACCTGGAGGGGAGTGTGGGTGCGAGGTCAGGGCTAGAAACAGGCAGATGGGCTGGGGGGAGGGGTGGACAGTCCTTGAACTGGGGCAGGACACCAAGGAGCCAGCCTTCCTCCCAGGGCCTAAGACCACCCTCCACCAATGCACGCTTGAGCCCAAGAAGTCCCTGCTCCTGGACACGTCACTCCACATCCCAATGCCTCTCTCTCCCGGCTCTGCAGATGGGAACCCGGATCCAGTAAGTCACGGAGTCTCCTCTTAAACGTGCTCAAAATCACACACCCGGGGCCAGGGCTACCAAGCCCTTGGATTTAAGAGACGGAGAAGGAAGGGCACGCGAGCATCTTGGAAATATTGCAAAGGGCTCTCTCCTACCACCACGTCCTGTGGGTCATAGGTCCGCGGGGTCCAGTCTGGTATCCGCCCCATGCCGCGCTCGCCGTTGCCAAACTTCTCACAGAAGGCCCCGTACTGGGGCTGGGAGTGCCCACAGCGGTGGGGGTCATGGAAGGCGACGTAGAGGAAGAAGGGCCTGCCCAGAGAGGGGGGCTTGAGTCCCGAGGTCAGCCGACAGACGTGCCACCTGGCTTTCTACTCTGGAGATCCCCGACCTTTAGGAGGGTATACCCCGCAGCACTGCTCACTTCTCTGGAACTGAAAGTCTCCCTGGGATTGTCCGCCTCAACTTCCCTGTGCCTCCTTTCCGTTTAACTTGAGTTTCTGGAAACTTCTTCCCCTCCCTTGCTCCTCTACCTGGGGCCTCCAAGGATCCCAACTAAAGACTCTGGGATGTGCATCACAGGTTAACTGCCCAGAGGTCTGGCTGTGCGAGGGAGGGGACGGGGCCTCCGCACACCTGTCATCCCGAGTCTGCAGGAACTTCCGAACCAGCAGCTTAATTCTGGTGATGTTCCGTCCCACCTGGAGGACGGAGCCATTCTCCTCCGTGTATGCAAACTCGAAAGGGTACACCGTCTCGGGCCCTATGTGCTTCTTCCCAATGATGCCTGGAGGTGGGGACACAGGCCTGCCACAGTCCCCGAGGTATCCCACTGCCCTCTTCTGCCCCCCAAGCCCCGTGCCCTGGAGTGGCTTCTATGAGGCCAGCCCAGGCCCTTGTCCGCACAGACCCAGGGCCCAGGGAGAGGGCCCCGGCCGTGGGGTGCTCTGAGGACGTGACATGGGGCGGAGGGTAGCTCAGGACCAAGTCTCGCCTGCCGGGGCCCATTCCCACTGTGGCACGAGGCCGCTCACCCGTGCGAACGCCGGCTCGGCCGAGCAGCTGCGGCAGGCTCTGCACCTTGTCGAAGGAGTTGAAGTGGTGGGCGTCCTGGTGCAGGCCGTACATCCCGTTCTGATGCTGCGGGGGGACGCCCCTGAGGCTGGGCCCGCCCCGCCCGCTCCTGCTCCCTCAGCCCGCCCCTTCCCAGGCCCCCCGGAACCCCCAGAGAGTCCACCGCCTGCCCCAGCCCCACCCGCTTCACGGGACAGTGGCAGGAAACACAGAGCGGGAAAGTGCACCCGTGATAACGAGGGGGGGCCTTTACTTTCATCCTGTCTACCTGTACTTCCAAACTCTTTGGTCATGAGCGCACACCACAGTGGGAAGAAAAAGCACCAGACCTCGATTAACTGGATTTCTTATAACACCAAAAAAATAGCCGACGCAACACAAAGTCAGACTAAAAAAAGACTTAAGGTGAGATGGGACAGCCCTGTCCTCACTCCTGTGGCCCACGGTGGCCTGAGGAGCCTTCAGGGGACTGGGGGGGGGGCTGGGCACTGGTCACAGCTTGCCTCTCCACGTGGGTGTCAGACTCGGATGGGGACATACAGGACACAGCAGCTCGCCATGAGACGATGTCATGAGACAACGTGACTGGAGGAAGTGCCTGTGTCCCCCCGTTCACAGCAACACTATTCATCATCGTCACGGGCAGGAACAACCTAAGTGTCCGGGGACAGATGGACAGGTGCACAACACGGGCCATACCCATACGACAGAACGCAGTCAGCCCTTTCAGCTGCGAGAAGGCAGGCTGTTCTGTGCTACAGCGTGGGGGAACCTGGAGGGCACCACGCTCAGGGCGGTAAGGCCGTCACAAAAGGACACATACTGCAGAACTCCACTTACATAAGGTACTGGAGTAACCAAGTTCAAAGACCCGGACAGGGGAGGAGTGGCCGCCAGGGCTGGGGGAGGGGGTGGGGAGCAGTGTTGACGGGCACCCCGCTTTCGTTTGGGAAGATGAGGAAGTTCTGGAGATGGACGGATAGACCATGGCTACACCACAGCATGATAGAGGGGGACGCTCACGGAGGAGTAAAAGGGTGAGCTCTGCACTGTGCGTGTCCTAGCACAACACACACGGGGGAAGTGCAGCTCTTCCCGGCACTCGGGCTCCTGAGTGATACCGTAACATGAGTTAACGCTGGGCGAGAGCGTGTCGGGCACCTTCCTGCCTTCCTGGGTGCCTTATGTATGAAGTAGGAGCTTGGCCCACCCGTAACGATCCCACGAACAAGGTATTATCATGACCCCATCTAACGGGTGAGACGATCGAGGTGCACAAATAGTGCTCTGCTCACAGTCATATGGAACAGGGGAGCCAGGGCTCGGGCGGCGGGGAAGAGAACATGGGCATGTCCCAGCAGAGGTCAGGGAGGGGCGCTTCCTCTCCCACGCCATCCCCCTGCCCCCCCTGCGGCCCTCACCTGGGGCAGGCCGGTGAGCAGACTGGCTCGGCTGGGGGAGCAGCTGCTGACGGAGGAGAAGGCATTGCGGAAGGTCAGGCTGCGGCGGGCCAAGGCGTCCAGGTGTGGGGTGCTGATGGCACTGTTGTTGTAGGCGCCACTCTCGAAGCCTCCGTCGTCCGCTGAGGAAGGCAGAGACACTGAGGCCGTGGCAGCCTGGGCCAAGGAAGCCCACGCAAGTGGCATACCCAGGTGGGCACGACCCAAGGCGGCATGACAGCTGCTTGGGATTGATGCCCAGGGGGACCGGACACCCAGAGGACACGGTACTCAGGCAGCCCTGTTAGGAAGTGGGCAGGACCGGGCGGTCCCGGCTCCGCAGCGGCCACAGGAGGACGGGTTTCTGCACCCGTGTCCCCAGCAAGGAGGAGCCGATGGAGTAGGAGAGAACTGTTTTATGCTACCAGCGGACGGGCCTGCTTGGAGACCACAAAGTTAATCAGAAAGAGTGAGTCTGGCAGAACGCCAGACCTCAAAAGAGGAAAGAACAGGGCCGTCTTGTGACAGCCGGACCCTGGGCACCAAGTCTCGTGAACAGCAGGGCGCCGGGGGAACTTGTGATTTGGGGGAAGGGCTGCGGTTAGGGGAGAGGGCGGGGCGGGGGGGTGCTGCGCTTTTCAGCCAGAAGATCGGAGCCACAGCACTCCCGGGTCTAGAAACAAACCTGCAGGGCTCTCGCGAGGCAGGGGAGGGGAGCGGGGCGCCCCGCACGCAGCCGTCCCTGCGGACTTGGGCACCCGCCCCTCGCCGGCAGCCCTTCTAGGGCTGTACCCCGCTGAACTCCGGAGAGCCGCCCATGCTCCCGCGCCGGAGGCTCCGCTGAGCTGGGCAGCGTGGGGTGGGGGTCAGGGCGGAGGCCGGACGGGGGTGCTGGAGGTTGGCCGGACCCGCGGTGGGCGAGGCCGCTCCTGCCTCCCTCCCCAAGGCGGCCACGAACGGGCCGGGTCAGCGGGGAGCGCAGGAGCAGACGCGAAGGGGCGCAGGGCTCGCCGGACGGGCGGCGGCGACGCACTCACCGAGGAGCAGCAGCACGTTCCGGGGACGCGCCCGGTGCGAGCGGCAGAGGACCAGGGTCAGCAGCAGCAGCCCGCAGGCCGGCCCTCGGCGGTGCATGGCGGCGGCTCTGGCCCCGCCCCGCCCGCGGTCACGTGCGCGACCGGCCCGCCCCCCGGGGGTCACGCACGAGCCAGGTCCCTCCCCGGGTGGTCACGTGTGCTCCAGGCTCCGCCCCCTCTCTCCTCCCTCCCCCTCCCTCTGCGGTTCCTGCGGACCCCGCTGCGGCGGCGTCGGGAGACCCCGAGCTGCGGCGCCGGGTGAGTCCGCGGCGGGCGGGGAGCGGGGTCCGGGCCCCGGGGCGGAGAGGGCGAGCTTCCGGGGACGGGCCGGGGTCGCCGGGGCGGCGCGGGGCCCGAGGGGGTGGGCTCCTCCTGCGGGACCCTTTCCCACTGCGTCCCCGCCCTGTCCCCGCCGTCCTCGGCCTTGCCGGAGCGGTCAGGCGGCGCGGGGTCCCCACCCGAGACCGCGGGTCCGGGGCAAGCGTCTTCGTGGGTGGGAGGCGGGGTGCGTCCAGCGCCGGGGCGGGGTGGGGGGCGGTCTGGGACCGGCTCCGCGAGCGGCTGTGAGCCGGGACCCGAGAGGCTGTGGCGCGTCCTGAATTCCCGGCCTCGGACGCTGTCCCCGCGCCCGCTCAGTCCCGGGGCGCTCCTGCGGGGACGAGAAAGCCACAGGTGGGGCGTGGGGTGGGGCGCGGCCTCAGGCTGGGAGATGGCGGGCCTCAGCCCGCCGTGGATGGTGGAGCCGGCCCTGCTGCGCGGGGGACGCCGGGGGCGCCCGAGGCTGCGGCAGCCCCCACCCCGCCGGGCGAGGGAGCCCCCGTGGACCTGCCGCTCCTCGCACTGCTCCCCGTTAAATCCGTGGGGAGGAGAAAGAGATAAATTATTTCGGGGGGAGAGACGGTGTCTAATTAGCGTTTCTCACGGAGAAATCACGTATCGCCTTTTTCTGGCCAAGGTCCGTGGACAGCCGGCAGCCGGGGCTGGGGCAGGTGGGATTCAGGGGGAGCAGTGAGCAGGCGCCAGGGTGGGGGACGACACTTACTCTTGCGGTCCTTCGGTCCCAGGTGTGGGTGCCTTTCAGAGCAGCGAAAGGGCGTGTTTAATCCCTGTGGCTCAGACCCCTCGGGAGACCCCTGTGCCTCTCCCAGGCCCCTAGACCCCGCTCTTGCTGCATCCTGCCAAGCCCAGACCCTGACCGCTCGTCCTGTTGCCCCCAGGCATGTCCTCCTCTGTGAAGGCGTTGGGTCAGGTCCGGCCGTCGGGTGCCGGCATGGCCCCCCAAGCCCGCTGCTGCTCCCCGGCGGCCGTGCAGAGGTGGCTGCCTCTCCTGGCCTGGCTGCCCGACTACTCGCTGCAGTGGCTGAAGATGGACTTGGTCGCGGGCCTCTCGGTCGGGCTCACAGTCGTTCCCCAGGCGCTGGCCTACGCCGAGGTGGCTGGACTCCCGCCCCAGGTGAGACCTCTGCCCCTGCCCCACCCCCACTGCAGCCGCTGCCCCGAAGCAGGTGGGAATGCATCCTCTCCGCTGCAGACAAGCAGGCCGCCAGGACCCAGCCCCGTGGGGCCCCAGAAATCTCGGTGTACAGTCTTTAGCATGTGATGGCCTTTGGCCACGTGCACACCCCATCACTGCTCTTGTCATAATTGTAACTGAGCTGGTTCTGGGGTGTCCATCGGGGCCGGCAGGACGACTCACTGTGGTCTCAAGAACGCTTTCTTAGGCTCACAGACTGAGCAAGCACCCTGGCCCTTGGGTCCCTGCTGACACCCAGTGGGGTGCAGGTAGAAAAGAGGCCCCTAGTCACTGCAGGTCCACACCGTGCTCACGGAGGGTGAGCGCTTTGCCCTGTGTGCGCTGCTGTGCCCGCCATCGGGACCGCCCCCACAGACCCTGTGCTCAGACATCTCCCCCCGGGACGCTGGGGGCCCCCTGTGTGCCACCTCGATGCTTAGTGCTGTCTCCCCCCAGTACGGCCTCTACTCTGCCTTCATGGGATGCTTCGTGTATTTCTTCTTGGGCACCTCTCGGGATGTGACGCTGGGCCCGACGGCCATCATGTCCCTTCTGGTCTCCTTCTACACTTTCCACGAGCCCGCCTATGCTGTGCTGCTCACCTTCCTGTCCGGCTGCATCCAGTTAGCCATGGGCTTCCTGCACTTGGGTGAGACTCTCAGGCCTTCCTGCCAGGGGCTACCCAGGCATCTGCCTCCTGGAGAGGCCCTGGTTCTTGGCCTTCTCTTCTTTGCCTGTCCTGTGCATGTGTGAAGGGAGAGGTTCCCTCAGCCCTCTGCTACTCTACTTAGAGGCCAGGACACTTGGAGAAGTGCCCAGGGCTTCAGACCCTAGCCTCCCTTCCTCACCGTCCAGACCAGTCCAAACAGGGTGTGTGCCCCACCTGTCCTCAACCGCACTCCCGCCAAACCTCCTCTTCCAGTCCATACCCACCCACGTCTGCTGGGACTGGGCAGAGCTGGGGCCACCAGCTCAGTATCCCCTCTCGGCCGCCAGGCTTCCTGCTGGACTTCATCTCCTACCCCGTCATCAAAGGTTTCACCTCTGCTGCCACTGTCACCATCGGCTTTGGGCAGCTCAAGGTAGGCACGCTGGTTGGCAGCCAGGCCCCTCCTGGGTTGCGGGACGGAGGCTGGCTTCCCTCTGTGCGGGCCAGTTGACGTGTTGCTCTTCCAAACCTCAGACCACAAGGTGCTCCCGTGGGTCTCCACGGATCCCGGCAGCCCTCGGGGGAGATGCTGCGTGCCGGTGGGACAATACGACAGGTTATTGGGGTGACCATCAGCGACAGCCTCGCCCCTGTTGGGGTTTTGGGTCCAGTGTGCTTGGTTTGCCTCACAGGGCGATTCTGTTCTGCTGCCTTCCTTACCCCTCCGCCAGCGCAGCCTCGGACCGTCCACGTCCTGCGGACATGTTGACCATCAAGTTGGTCCTCCCGTGCTCGTGCTCGTTTAGTTAGATTTCATTTTAATGTTTTTTTTCTCCATTCTGTTCAGTATTTTTCCTTTAAGATTTTATTTATTTGAGAAAGCAAGTAAGTACAAGCGGAGGGAGGGGGGCAGAGGGAGAGGGAGAAGCAGACTCCATGCTGGGCGTGGAGCTTGACGCGGGACTCGATCCCAGGACCCTGAGACCACGACCTGAGCCAAAGTCAGATGCTTCATGACTGAGCCAGCCAGGTGCCCTCTTACAGGTGGTGTTAGAAACAGAAACATAAGGAGACACAGCATCTGAGAAATACTGAACAGGGGGGCGCCTGGGTGGCTCAGTCGGTGAAGCGTCCTACTCCTGATTTCAGCTCAGTTTGTGATCTCAGGGTCCTGGGATTGAGCCGCATTGGGCTCCATGCTAAGCACGGAGTCTGCTTGGGGTTCTCTCTCCATCTCCCTTTGCCCCTCCCCCTACTCGCCCTTTTTCTCTGTCTCTCTCTCTCTGAATAAATAAGTAAAATCTTTAAGGAGAATTTGTAAGAAATCCCGGAACTAGTTATCACCAGCGACTGTTTCCTTTTTACTGGGGGTTGAGGTCCCAAAGCGCAGGGGTGGTTTTGCTTTGCAGCTGGCCAGCCCTGTGCTTTGTGCAGAAGTAGGTGAGTGCTCAGTGGGGGGTGTGCAGAGCGGAGTGGAGCCATATTGTGCAGGCGATGGCCTGCCCCGTCTCAGGACCCGCTGTCAGCACTCCTCCTCGCTGAGGCATGCCTCCCATGGTCAGGGCTGGCCCCGCACAGCCTCCCTGGCGAGCCAGAGGAAAGGAGCGGACCTTCTCTGTGCTCCTATGATGCTGGATGCTGGGTTAGACCCTCCCTTGCCTTGGGTTGTCCTGACGCCCCTGCGAGGCAGGATCATCACTACCTGTGCAGAGAGAGGAGGGAAGCCCTTAGGTGTGGCGGACATGTGCGTGTGGCATGTGCGTGTATGTTAGGGTAAGCCTGGCCAGTGCTGCTTAATGGGATGATCTGTCTTTTTTTCTGAAAGTGTCCTTTTTGGTATCAGGAATGTTCTTTTGTGCAGTTAGAACATATAGAAGGTGGCTTCTTTATGCATGGGTGTTCGGCAACGCTAGGTCTCCTAAGTCTTTAACACCTTGACTAAGTCACAACAGCCATCTGAGAGCCTTGGGCCAGGGTGGGGGTCAGGAGTCAGGGGTTCTCCTGACCTGCTCTGGCAGGAGCTCCCTGGGTCCCAGAATCTAGTGTTTCCACCCTGGAGTCTGTCCCCATTCAGGCTGTGTACGTGGGTTTTGGGATCTTGGAATTTAACACTATGGGGGTCTGGGCCTCAACCATCCTACTAACACTCCACACCCATTGTCAAGTGGGATAAAGAATTAAAACACAGAGGAGAGCCCCTTCTCCCCTCCAAGGACCCTGCCCACCTGTGTCCCCTTGCCTGGAGGCCCTCAGAGCCCCTGGTGGTTCTGCCCAAAAGCTTCACCTGATTTTCCCTCTAGGGGAGCAGTACCGGGCAGGTGGGCCTCAGACCAGTGGCAAGGGGGTGTGGGGCGTGTCAAGGGCAGTGGGGCCCATGGGGCAGGCACAGTGACCTGGACCCTGGACCAGGGCAGTGGGGCCCATGGGGCAGACAACAGTGACCTGGACCCTGGACCAGGGCAGGGACGTACTGGTCTCTCCCTTTGAGATCACTTAGGCTGATTTTTCTCACAAGGGAGAATTATTCACCAAGAAGTGTCGTTGACCGTGAACATGAAATTCCTTTTCGTTGGAGGATAATTCTGATCTCCTTCCCCTGGGGGCTTTGGGAATGGGCAGATGGTTCCCGGGGAGCCTTGGGATGTGCCCCTGAAGGGGGCTGAGATGTGCTGAGATGCTGCAGGGGAAGGTTGTCTAACTCCGTCTGTGTTTGGACAGAACCTCCTGGGACTGCACGATGTCCCGAGGCAGTTTTTCCTGCAAGTGTATCAGACATTCCGCAAGGTCGGAGAGATCAGGTGCGTGCGGTCCCTCACTTCCCTCCGGAGCCCCTCTCCCAGGCCCCACCCCATTCCCCCACCAGCTGGCATGGATTCCAGTCCCCTGGGGCCCGGCCGCCCAGACTGGGTCCC